TAATGTTTGTAAAACTGAAACTGAATTAATCGGAAATAATTGCGACTATTACCGATAGCTGCAGCCTTCTCCATCTCTTTACACTTTTCTACCCACCACTTCTCTCTCGGTCATTCCTCAGACTCTTGATGAGCTGGCGCTTAAAGGATTTGAGCGCTTTGTCGTAGTTTGAATCCGAAGGAATGGGGGACGACAATCAAAAGTGATGGAAGTAAGGCCAATGGTTGTGTGTTACAGCCGTATGGAATTATTTCGATACTGGTCTTCACATGATCGTCATTTGTTAATTTTTCTCGTCCAAATAGCGATTCAACAGGTAGTGAACCCGAATACAGCTGGGAGCATCTAGGCATTCATTTATGGAGCAAAAGGCATGGTTATTTGTACAGAAGAGAAAACACGAAAATGAATATATTTGACAATTGATTGACTGGATTGTTGTGAACCTCCTTGAATGGTTGCCACTTCCTCTGCTGGGTATGCCTATCCTTGTTGTGATTAGTTGTCCCAGAACAAGGCAGTTTTAGGGAGTATACCAAGAAATTCAGAACAACATATCTCTATCACTATTAAGTTCATTTTTCCTAAGAATCATCATCGCTTTTGAATTGCCCGATGACGGCTAGTACAAACGAACGCGAAGCGTTGACACGAGTCACAGATACTGAGAAACATTGTCAAGACATTAGTATGGAATACAAAATTTTGCACATGGTTTACAAAGATTTATTAGAGAATTCGATCACAGCGCGGGGCAGGGGAGCTACGGAGCGCAAAACTGAAAGCAAGCCAGAACTCGGTTGGGACTAAGCTGCGAAAAAGGGCCACTAACACCATTAGCTGGTAATGAAGCAAACTGAAAGTGGTGGACAAAAGTTAGTACGTATCAAGACTACATCAGTGTGACCATCACACAAATTTTTGTTGAGGGAACTTTTTATTGAACAACACAACAGGGAGGTGTTGGGTGAAATGAAGCAGTAGTTTGAATGGGGGAATTGAAAACGCTAGAACCCGTGAATTGCGCTGGCAATCGTACAACCGGATGTATAGTGCGTAGTGATCGCATCCTATTTTTCTGTACCCAAAAAGTCCGAACTGATCGAAATTGATTTGGTGACGATACACTTCGTTAACCCAAAGGAAAATCAAACGGTTGTCAATCATGACCTTTAAAAACTGATTTTTAGGAGAAAATGACGATAACACCTAAAATGTTGAAAAATACTTACATTTATAATTTGTGAATGAAATACAACACTCAGGCAGACTTCCTATTCGGTTCCGAATTGCCGGAACTTCAAAATTGTTTTACTCATGAAGGATAAACATTATTATTGCGCAAAGAGTATAGAATAACTTTCTGTTTGCATAAACACGCTTCGTAAATAGACCTCAGGCCTTTTCTAGTTAGATTTATATTCGGACTATGAACTAGATACTTCAATGCCTAGATATTTTGATATAGCAGCTAGATTCATAGTGACTTAGGTCGTATGTGTGGAAATGGCCTAGTGCTGGCAAACCACGGTGCCTAACCGATATTCTGGAACTGTGGTCAGAAAAACCTTATTTTAGGCTTTGAAACAGGAGCTGGCTATCTGAGTTCCTTAGAAAACTATTATCCGAAGTTTTCCATCCGCATAAATAGCACCCAGCCTGAGATAGGATCCTGTCCGAAGAAAATCGCCTTAAAATCATTTTTTTTCTCTTAAACAGTAGCGTACGAGTCAATCAGGGTTTTCATATTAGATTGAATATCACACACGTTCATTCAGAAATTCAATTGATGGGACTTTTATGCACACAACTCGATCACTACTATGACGAGCCATAATCCATGTTTCTGATTTTATCTACCTCAGTTGTAAGTGTGGAACAGATTCTAACACTTACATCCAAATGTAATGATCACTGTGACGCCAAAAACCTGTTAACTTATTTGAAGCGGCACGTGGGAGCCGCTTCTTGCTTGATCAGAGATCTCTCGTTTAATAGCTCATCTATTCTGAGAGCCGTGTCAATGTTGGTCAACTAAAACATCACAAATAACTGCCGTTGTTCGATTACTTTTTCCGTTACCCTTGCGAGTATTTCTCATTGTTGCAGCTCAGATGGTATGGAACCACATTATATTCCCCAGTTTCGCTAAATGATAGGTTCATGAGCTCCGCAACAATGCACGCAAGATGAGGGTGATCGTTGTTTATTTACCAGGTCCCAAATGGATCCTAGTCACTAATGCATAACTGGACGTAAAGCAACAACAAATCCGAGTCTTATCTAACTCACGTAACTTAAGTAAGGAGCTGCGGAGTGCACTTTAATTTGTGAGGTTAATAGCACTTCCCATCCCCAGGAATACATTTTGCCGGTGCAGTCGAGTCCGAATGAAAATCCGTTTGGTAATTCTCTCGGGTAATGAGCTATGCATCGTCATCATACCACAACCTCTTCAATTTGGGTGGTTTGGTTACCGACAGTAAATATTTCAGAAGAGCAAGTGGGGTTATTGGGATTTCGCACACTAGTCGTGGTATCACGTGCGAGAAAAATTATACACGATTGTTTCAACCACTCAGTTGTAACTATGACGTACATCGTTTCACGGGTTCTCNCAACAGACATCTTTTATTAATTCAATAATACGTTGAGACAGAAGGATCACTAGCCAAACAGGTCAGCGGAACATTCTGTTAGGCGATGCTTTAAAGGAGGAATCTCACTGCACACAAACATTGCACGTTCCCAAAAAGTTTGTTAACCATTGGCTAGCAGTCAAAAAACTTTTCGCACGTACTTGTTATCACCATTTTCTCCCGTTTTCAAACTTGGATTGAAAATTCATCGTACGGAAACATTTTTGTAGAGCAGGTATGCACCACAACCTCATATTTGATTTAGATTACATTAACTGTTGAAAGTCACGGATGACAAAAACGGGTGGATTTCGAACAAGCATTCTGAATTAATGACGTTAGTGTGAGAATCGTAACAAAAAACTAAAGCCTTTTATTCGGAGGATACTATATCACCGGAGCAGGTTCGACTAGTTAGTATCATTGCGTAGCCACATGGCAACTCGCAGTGTGGATTTAAGCATGCAAATGACGCTCCTTCCAGTGTTGTTCAAAGTCATGGAATCTATTGTTGCTGATTCTGTAATGGATCAACTGGAGAAAAATGGCCTACTATCCCCAGTCCAGCGCGGGTTTCGAAAAAATCGTTCATGTGCAATTAATCTGATTTTGGCTCGGGACGATTGGACTCATGCTTCAGATCAAGGCAAAGAAGTTGATGTCATTTACCTGGACTTTTCCAAAGCCTTTGACAGGGTAAATCATCAAATGCTGATGAGAAAGCTGTATAACTATGGAATTCGTGGACTCGTACTTGGCTGG